TGGCTCCAGCGGTCACTGTAAGATTCTGTCTAACCAAATCTTTTTATATATTTTTATTTTAGTAATTCAGTGCTTTTACCCTCTTGTTGTTTGTTGGCACCAGTTCAATAGAAACTTTTCAATATTATTCTGTTGAACGTCAGGTACAACCGCTTTCAACACATCCTTCACCTACACAAAATAAACAGAAACATTCTTCATTCGTCTTTTCTCTCTTAATCAACAACGATTTGAGTTCTCTACCTGCCAATACTGGATTATCGACCATATCAATGCTAATGTTAGTTTTGGATTCCCATCAACAATATCATTGCTACTAATACTGAGCACTTTAATCTAAACAAAAAGATACAAAAAGAGCTTTTCTCAGCATAAAGCGATGAGTATCGGCCACTTACACCATGTTCATTCAACACTGCAATCACTTTTTTCACATTTCCAATGTGGTAGAGTTACATTTCCAATGTGGGGAGATCATATTGGTCTTAAACTGAAGCGAACAGCCATGAAAATGACCTAAAGAATCTTTGATTTTGGCCGACTTTAATTTACATTGTCGAAAGTTATACACCAGGTTTGCTGCTTTTTACGAATTTTTGAAGTAAAATTCTTCAGATAATAAAAGAAACAAAAAAGCCAAACATTTAGCGCTTTTACGTTGTTACTCAAACTTAATCTGATATTTTAAAATCCGTCAGAGTTCTCCAGCTGCTTTCTGGGAGGCGAAATCTGCCGAACGATCGTTGTCCGATTTGATCCATGTTTGTGCGACATCTCTTAAACAGTGATAGATGGAGACTCAAAAATCATAACGTAACTATTTCTCAATATGCCCAACATTCCTGAAATTTTCGTTCAGATCAGACTTGTGGTTGCTAAGATAGAGTTCTGATCCCGAGAGGTGCCGTAATCAATTATCCCCACTTTCTTGACGGGATTGTAAACATATTCTATCAGAATCCCGCTAGTATTTCGCCTACATTTACTAAGTAATCCGAAGGACGTATGATTTGTTAGGCTTCTGAGAGAATTCTAGGTGAAGTTCTAGTAGAATGCTTATAGATAATATCATGCAAGGACCTTATTAGGACCTTAAATGGATCATACTGCGATCCTTGTAACAAATAGATAGGATTTTGTTCAGTGTTCACTGTTTTATTTTGAATCATTAGACTGAAACGAAAAGCTGAGAACATAAGCTGTAATACTGCGTTTCTACAAGAGGAATCGAGAGACAGAACGACTATCAAATCAGATATTTCATGACTCTCGAAACTGTTGTATTGTTGGGAAAAGTCAGACCGATAATCTTGTTTCTTTGACGAGTGATATACGCAGCAGATAGATGGAGATGACGAAGTGCTTCAGTCTTCTCTATGTACGATGATGAGGCTTCACAGAAGTCTTTGAGAATATATTGTCAAGAATGTTTTTGAATGTTTTTAACATATAAAGAAACGAATTGCTCTATTTGAGAATGACAGTTCTTGGTCGAAGATATAATGAACAATAATGAATATGAAGAATACTAATTGCCAAAACTCTGTCTTGGTTTTCTATAAAACCTGAATATCTCAACTACAGTCTCGAGAATTGTGAAATATCTGATCTGATAGTCGTTCTGGCTGCATAAATAGTACTCTGCAAGCCGTATAGATACAAGACTTAAAGCGAATTATTCAAATAGGATTGTTTAAATCTACGATTCCCTGTAATACGATGTGTCACTTGTTTCAGATGTACGTTCTAATTTATTCAGTTATTAAAAACATCGACTTTAAGAGACTGACGAATTCTAATCTTTTTCTGGACTTATATTAGCTCAACACTTTTCTCCTCTCAATTTGTACCCAAAACTGAGTATTATCGTTTTCTTCCATTCTTAACCCTTTAAGTCTCCAAGGCTTTAACGCGCGGCTCTGGGTCAATCACTTGTGCAAATGAAACGTATAAGACCTGGATGTAACTTTCTCCCGCACGAAAAAAATTACTTTTCATTTTTAAAAAAGTTAAGTTTTTATAATTTAAATTTACAATGAAAATTTGAAGAAAATTATTTTTTTGAAAATTCTCTTTAGAAAGCAAAGATCAAACGTATCTGAGTTTAGACTATTATGTTTGAGGAAGTTGAGACCGAAAATGAGCTGAGATGGGGAAGGAAATCAAGAATGAAAATATGACCTTTCGTTTTGTACCATCAGCAGCCTACAGTTTTCAACAATAATTTATTCAGCTGATATAATTTGAAAGAGCACACCTTCCTACATATTTCTGAAAAATCATTAAATAAAAAGCTTTTCCTCAAAGAAAGTAAATTAAAAAAATTAAATTTTTTCAAAATCTTCTTCGTTTTAAAATCTAAGAACACTTGAAAACAGACAATTCGTTTTTTTTTTGCACAAATGGACGGTTCAGACGTTTTGATTTTTTCTGGTTTTCGCATGAAATAATACATAACGGTATGGTGAACATATTCTGACAGTTCACCAGTATTAAGATTAGCTTCTTGAGCCCTATGGAAATTAATTTGCGTCTATTCTGTGTGATTTGTATGAAGTGATTATATTTATCCCACAAAAAATGGTAGTATGGTTATAGTTACCCCAGTTCGCATATATCGAAAAAAATGACTGTTTTCTTTGATTATGGTAAAGTTCTGCTAATTAGTTAACAGCAAGTCCGATTGATTGACAACTTACAATCGAGATAGAACTCAAAATTCTTTACTAGATGACTAATTTTATTTAAGAAGATAAAAGTTCACCGTTGAATCTAAGCTGATTACAACATTCCAGCCATTATTGTTATACTGATTATAATTATCCCGAATGGAGTAATTATAACCAGCCAACGCCAAATGAGTTAATTATAGCCATTTAATAGCAACGAAGTGAAAATTAAATGGTACTAATTACCAGTAATGAATTTTCGAATAATTTTTACACTATTGGACAGCTAGGTATCTGCCTGTGCAATACTGTTTTTCTCTGACTGAAAATAGCTGAGCCATCGGCAAAATTTCTTCTGATTTTCACATGGAATGATACATGACGATATGGTAAATATATTCAATCATTTCACCAGTACGAAGATTAGTCTCTGAAACACTATAGAAATGAATTTGGGTATATTTCATGTGATTTGAACTGAGTGATTATATATTCCTCAAAAAAAAATGGTAGTGTGATTATAATTACGGCAGTTTGCATATATCGTAAAAAAATGTCTATTTCCTTGACTTTAGTAAAGTTAATTAACGGTAAGCCTATTGATTGACAACTCACAAACGAGATCAAACTCAAAATTCTCTCCAAAATGGACTAATTCTTAATTAAAAAGATAAAAGTCCATCGTTGAATTAAAGCTGATTCATATGTGTTGCAGCCAGTTTGCCGTGGTGCTCTCTAAAAAAAATCCGTAGCTTACAAAACGAATATCGGTTTTGGCATTTGCTCCTAATAGAAACCGATATCCGTATCGTACAGTCCTGCATACCCGTTTCGCAGAATACGTTTCAACGTTTTTTCTCTGGTACAAAACCTAAATCCGTTTCTTCACAAGGCAAAAAACGTTGAAGCGTATTCTGCGAAACGGTTATGCAGGACTGTACGATACGGATATCGGTTTCTATTAGGAGCAAATGCCAAAACCGATATTCGTTTTGTAAGCTACGGATTTTTTTTAGAGAGTGGTTACAATTATCTCAAACTTGACTGAAAACAGCTTGGACATTGACAAAATGAGAAGAAATTGACGCCTGATTATAATTACATCATCTCCTCTATGTATTTGGCGCTAATAGCATTGAGTTATCTTAATTTTGAATTAGAAGTTACAATAGATACTTTTACTTGAATTTTTTCCGTAATAATGGGCAATAATAATTGCGATCTGAGAGCGTTGTGTAACAAATGAAGAAGAAAAGTAGAAGATGCTCGCTTGTTGCATCTAACAGTGCAGACATCGAAGTTGAATATATTATCTTTTCTCGCAAAGTATCGCTATTAAGACAAATCAGATGCGAAATAATGAATGTATAAGTGTTATCAATTGTTATTTGTGTTTATTTTTCGTTTGACAAGGCATAAGATATCGTTTTAGATGTGTTTTCTACCTTGCAGGGAGAAAATACTTTATATTTCTAGATGGATTTTAGCATATGATAATGAATTGGTCGACGCGTTCATCTATACACACATGCTCGAATGATTGTTTCAGTGTTACGTATTGCAATCAAACGTAGGCGTATACTTTTTATTATTTTAATTACAATTAGTTGCTTAAACATTCTATTTATAATACAATAATATCGTTGAAAATTCAACATTTTTATGCTTTAAGTAAACATTTTAGAATAATTTAGACTATAATATTAGTAACGCTAGGAGTAGTCAGTTTTTCAATGAATATTTCTAATATTTCTTTTTTGATTTCGTAATAGACTAGTATAAGAAATGATTGAAGACGTGTCATTAATCGATTCGGCATTTCAAACCGCAAAAAAACAGATTATTCATCATAAAAAAAACAACATTTTGAGACTGAATTATGATAATCATCTCAGTGTAAATGAAAATTTTTATTTATTCGTCTTGAAGAAGAAGAAATCAGCTAGACATGTGACTGTAAATAGTTGAATTCATCCTTATTCAAAATATGAACGAAAGTATAATACAATTCTCTTTTTAAAAATATTTTCGTCATAGCTCATTGATTTCGTATATTTTTACTTATTTTTTGAACATAATATGTATCGACATGATTACTTTTTTTCTCTATATCTTTATATGCATACGGTCATGCTCAACAATCGTTGTATTAAAAATATTTTGAAGCATTCCAACAATGCCTATACTATACTCAGTATTTTGATTTAAAAAATAATCAATGACATGTAAACTATGCTTAATTTGAATTTTGTGTAATCTTCTTCTTGTTAAACGTGCATTGAGAGTATCTTTTTAAAAAAAAATAAATAAAGTTTAATTTAAAAAATAATAATGTCAAAAACACAGTCGCAAAATATAAAAAAATCAAGTACTGTCGCTGTTGGCATCGATTTAGGAACAACTTATTCGTGTGTGGGTGTTTTTCAACATGGAAAAGTTGAAATAATAGCAAATGATCAAGGTAATCGAACAACACCGTCCTATGTTGCATTTACAGAAACTGAACGTTTAATTGGTGATGCGGCAAAAAATCAAGTGGCAAGTAATCCAAGAAATACAATATTTGATGCTAAGAGATTAATAGGTAGAAAGTATGATGAACAATGTGTTCAACAAGATATAAAAAATTGGCCATTTAAGGTATTTATTCATTTAATTTCATTATAATATTGTGTGAGTCTAAAAATGTTTTTCTCTGTTAGGTTATTAATGATCATGGTAGACCAAAAATTCAAATTAATTATAAAAATACAATAAAAACATTTACACCAGAAGAAATTTCAGCAATGGTTTTGATTAAAATGAAAGAGATTGCTGAGGCTTATCTAGGAAAAAAGGTATGTTATTTACATCAATTTTATTAAAACTTAATAATTTCTTAACATATCAAGATAGTATAATCAAAATTTTGTTATAGATAAATGATTGTGTAATTACTGTTCCTGCATATTTTACGGATTCTCAACGGCAAGCGACAAAGGACGCAGGTGCCATTGCTGGCATGAATGTATTGCGAATTATTAACGAGCCAACAGGTGCAGATCTCATTTTCTTATTCTTTAAGGTCATATGTTAAACATGTACAGTGTCAAGTGTGTGATAAAAATAAATAATTGTTGAAAAACTATTTAATTCACTTGAATAACCCTAACGATTAATTACTTATCGTTCTGTTTAGCAAATATCATTTGTTTTTATAGCGGCTGCACTTGCCTATGGTCTAGAGAAAAATTTAACAGGTGAAAAAAATATTCTTATATTCGATCTTGGCGGAGGTAATTATTGAGATACTAGTATTTTTCGAGTTCTGTTGATAATTCTTTCTTTCTCTCTCTCTCTGTTTAGGTACGTTTGATGTGTCTGTATTGTCGATTGATGAGGGCCAATTATTTCAAGTTAAAGCAAGTGAGTATCTTTGTTGTCGTTAATCTCTCTTTGAATATTGAAATAAATAAATTTTAAAATTTGTAGCTGCGGGTGATACTCACTTGGGTGGTGAAGATTTCGATAATCGTTTATTATCTTATTATTGTAATGAATTTAAGATGAAAAACAATAAAGATTTAACCAAAAATGTACGATCACTAAGACGATTAAAAAATAATCTTGAACGAGCAAAACGTATTCTATCAACAGCCACAGAAGCAAATATTGAAATTGATTCACTAATGGATGGTATTGATTTTTATTCAAAATTATCACGAGCCAAATTTGAAGAATTATGTATGGGTCTATTTCGGTCAACATTAAAACCAGTTGAAAAAGCATTGCGTGATGCAAAAATGGATAAAGCTCGAATTCATGAAGTTATTCTAGTAGGTGGTTCTACAAGAATTCCAAAGATTCAAAAATTATTGCAAGATTTTTTGTAAGTTATCTTCTAAAAACGTTTCTTATTTTTATTTATAATATTTAACATTAGTAATGGAAAAGAATTAAACAAATCGATTAATCCTGACGAAGCTGTTGCCTATGGAGCAGCAATACAGGTAAGTGTTTGCACTAATCTATTCAAAAAACAAAAAAAAGATTGATTTTTTTCTTTTCAGGCTGCAATATTGTTTGGTGATAATCATGAAATAATTAAAGATGTCTTACTTGTTGATGTTATACCGTTGTCGTTGGTGAGTACTTTTCATATTATGAATGATACTAGAAAAAATGCAGCTTTAATATTTTTAAGATGCTCTCGTTATTTAGGGTATTGAAACAGTTGGTGGTGTAATGAATAAAATAATTGAACGTAATTCTCGGATACCATGTACTGTTTCAAAAGATTTTACAACGTTTGAAAACAATCAACCAGGAGTTACCATTCAAGTAAATACGAATATACGAAATGACATAGATTTATTAATTATGATATATTGATATTTTTAGGTATGTGAAGGTGAAAGAACAATGACTGCTGATAATAATTTATTAGGAAAATTTGAATTAATGGGAATTCCACCAGCTGCACGCGGTATACCACGAATTGTTGTAAAATTTGATGTTGATGGTAGGTGTAAAAGTCTGTTATTATTTTCTCATATTACTAATTCG